AGAGAGAGAGAGAGAGAGAGAGAGAGAGAGAGAGAGAGAGACAGACAGACAGAGACAGAGACAGAGACAGAGAGACAGAGACAGTCAGACACAGAGAAACAGAGAGACGGCACAGACAGGCACACAAGGTGGTTGCAACCAGTGGTCGTCATAATAATGGGCAATAGGAAGAGCTCGACCGTCTTAGATTTGAGCACAGAGAAGCACACCTACCTGATAACAGCAGCTGTTCACGGCTGAGACAAAGCAAGATAGGCACACAGTGACTACAGAGGGAGCAAAACGAAGAAGGGACCAACCACCCCGAGACCATTTAGTGCATGGAGAGACTATTACAGATGGAGTGAAACGACAGAGGGGAAGGCCAATGAGTAGGACAGACCAATGCCACCCTCCAACCACCCTCAGACCATTTAGTGCACGGAGAAACTATTACAGATGGAGTGAAACGACAGAGGGGAAGGCAACGAGTAGGACTGACCAATGCCACCCTCCAACCACCCTGAGACCATTTAGTGCACGGAGAGACTATTACAGATGGAGTGAAAGAACAGAAGGAAAGACAACGAATAGGACAGACCAATGCCACCCTCCAACCACCCTCAGACCAATAAGTGCACGGATAGAGTAACGCAGATGGAGTGAAACAACAGAGGGAAAGACAACGAGTAGGACCTACCAATATCACCTTCCAACCACTCTCAGACCATTAAATTTTAGTGCACGGATAAACTACATGCACTACAGATGGAGTGAAACAACAGAAGGAAAGGCAACGAGTAGGACAAACCAATGCCACCCTCCAACCATCCCCCAGTGTACTTCGGCGACATCAACAAAGACACACAAAAATGTGACGAACCATAGACTATTGAAATCATTTTTACACGAGTGGAGACGACGAGTCTCAGTTCACAGCAGGCCAGTTCGACAACGGACAAACTTCGCCCGGGAAAAAAACCCAGCAACCAGGAACTTTGAAACAAAAGGAGCCGATTTCTCCACAGTGGCCGCCATTCGTGTGCAGCTGGACACAACAGCTGAGGAATTCTTTCATAATATTACGCACTAAGGTAAATTGTTCGTCAACCCTACCTTTATTACCAAAATAAAAAAAATATTTAAAAAATAATATTTTAAATTAAACGTCAAAGTAATTTATAGCCTTCCGTTTA